GTCTTGCTCAGGGACCCAGAGTGGCAGTCTGTGGTAGTGAGGCTTGAACTCAGAACTTTAGGAGTCCAAGCCCTATGCTCTAACTTCAAGGCCTCCATTCCCCACAACCTGAAATCTGAAAATTCAGTTGAAAAATAGGAGTATTCAAGAAGGCAGTGGCTGCAGAGTATTTTTATTTAGACGTATTTGCACAATGGAGTTAAATTTAAATACCAAATGTTTACATTCTTCTTATTCTAACATATTTTGAAAAGTATACATTGTTTTTCTTTAACTTGACAGTTACGATTTATACTTTTTGACCTGTTCTAAAACTTTGCATGGTTAGAAACAGGGGTGATAAATAGGGCCCATTCAGACACTTCATTTAGGATGTCACTAAATCCTGATATTTCTATGTTTCCTTTCATGTTTTCATCATTGCTGTGGATTTTTTAAGACACCGTCATAAACTTCTCTCTACAAGCAGGTGTTATATGTATGAATCTTACACCTGCACATCCCTAAAAGGATCTTCAGATTATTATAAAGTCAGAAAACAACAAATTGTGTTAACAGGAATATGCAACTGAAATATTTCAATTCACTGTACTTAACAGAGGAAACTAACCTGCTATTAAATAGATTTATAAACCTAATTGAAATTTCTTATCGAATTAGAATTAATACATCTGCTCATATGTAATCAGCCCTTTTTCACCATCACTTGATCTACAGTTTCCTTCAATAATGGTGCGTCAATTGTCATAATGTAATAAAATGGGAAAAAGTACCATTTGTATGAATACTTTTGTGAGGGACTGTAAATGTGAGGATGAAGAGTACAACATTGTATAGTGATAAAAAAAAAACCATAGTAAATAAAAACTGCAGTGTTTGTCTTCCAATGTAATTACTTCCCTTTTTGCAGATTTGGAGCTGAGACACGATGGAACCGCCGGCGGTGCAAATTTAAGACAGGTTTATTTCGAGCAGTTAAACAAACACGGTCGTCACCAAGTGCTTTACAGGAAACAAATACACATACAAACAAGGATCAACCCCAAAAAATGTGTTCACAATTATCTACTTCATGGCTGTTGAAACACGATCCAAAAACAAAAGAGACAGCACAAATCTTAGAACTCCTGACACCAGTCCAACTTCTTGTGGAATCAGATACAGCCAATCCAGTGTCCCATGTGTTGTCATGTATTGCACAATTCTTCTCCTCAAGTCAGAGCAAGTGAACTTGATCGTGACCTCAAAACAGGCAAAGGAAGCTAAACTTAACTCTTCACCCTATCTTATTTCATTCACTGAAGTCAAGCCAGAGCCGAACACGTTCCTGTACAGGACTCCGAGAAGCGTCCAAGCTTCGAGGAAAGAGGAGAAAAAGGCCATTTTAACCTGTCCAAACTATGTAATTCAATGCAGAAAGAATCATGTCGTGCACAAGTTATTTCAGTAATCACCAATACTAATCGATTTTTGTCTAAAACATTCTCTTAACCTTTGTGTTTCACAAACAAATACATGATCCAGCCTAAGATAATAATAAAAAAAAAACAATTAAGTTTCATCAAATAAGAAATAAAATGTCGGTAAAGTCGGAAAGTTCATCTAGAAAAATGTAACCCATGTGTGTTTAGGTGTACATGTACATTTGGATCTCCTCTGAAATAGAATCCCCCTCCAAAGTTGGAATGAGTCAAACCTGAGCCGTCTTGTGTGAGAGGGTGAGATCAGCATGTACAAACAGCTTTCCCGACAAAGTAAGATTCCCCTCACAACCGTTTTAAGACCCTTCCAAGAAACGTAAACCTCCTCATATCTTCAGATCATCTATTCTAGTCCGGCTGCTGCTGTGCTTTCCACCATAGCCAGACCTATTCTGCGTGGGAGACGCAGGGGCGGATCCAGATCCTTTTTTTCCCTTTAGGTCACATTCCTCTGGCTTGCTGCTGCTCCTCTCAACCGCCATATTGTCCTTATTCTGTTTGTAGGCCGCCTTGCTGTGGTAAGGATGGAAGGACGAGTCTGTACCCTCGGACAGGGGGGAGAGGTCATAGCTGGGTACCGGCGGGTAAGATGGCTGGACTTGTCGGTGTCCTCGAAAGTAGTCATCATAGCTTGGTACGATTGGCACGGCAGCCTCACTCGGGCCCTTGGCGATGCTCTGCTGGTTTTGACGGTTTCTCTTGAAGGTGATGCCCTGACGACACTTGGTGAAACCCAGGTGGTAGATCTCTATGAGGTTTAGGAACAGCGAGACACTAGCAACCCCGAGCATGAAGATGATGAATATAGTTTTCTCTGTGGGGCGGGATATGTAGCAGTTAACCACATTTGGACAAGGTGGTCTGTCACATGTATACATCGGTTTCAGTTCAAAACCATACAAGAGGTACTGGGCTACAATAAAGCCCACCTCAAACAATGTCTTAAAGATGACATTGAAGACATACGTGCGCAGGAGCTCCCCCTGAAGCCGCACTCGTCCTTTCTCATCCCTTATAAGAGCTTTCTTGTGATGATCCACGAGGGGAGTCTCTTTGTCTCCGTGTTCTTTCATCTCCCTGTCTTTCTCCCTGCGTTTCTCCTCCATCCGCACCAGGTGGAGAATGTGTCCCAGATAGATGAGGGTGGGCGTTGACACGAAGATGATCTGCAGCACCCAGAAGCGGACGTGGGAGATGGGGAAGGTGATGTCATAGCAAACGTTCTCGCAACCGGGCTGCTTGGTATCGCAGGTGAACCCCGACTGCTCGTCGCCCCATACTTTCTCAGTGGCGGCACTCAGGATGAGGATGCGGAAGATGAACAGGACCGTGAGCCAGACCTTTCCGACCACGGTGGAGTGCTCCTGGGCTTTTTCCAGAAGCTTTCCTAGCAAGTTCCAGTCTCCCATGGCTGTATCCGCTCACTAAGATTAAAATAAAGGGTTACACACAAAATAATGTTACCATATGTTAATCATTGATTTTGAATGTTATTTTCTTTATGCTAAATTAATGCAAATTGTCCAAAAAGTTACAGGAAGCTCCCATCAGGTCAGTCTAACAGGCTGAGCTTGTAACTGAGGATTCAGCTGCCGCATGAGTAGCAGCCTCATCCGTGAGGATGCAGACAGGATTAAAATTACTTTAGGAGGGTATATATTTGGCAAGTGTGGACAGGGGTAAGGCAGGTTTCAGGCATGATTCTGCATGTCCTGGCCTTCGTGACCCAAACCGTAGCAACGTGATCCCCTGAAGAAGGTGAAATCAAACACTGGGCTGATGTGGTGAAGGTTCAAACCTGAGACACTGAAGAATGCTGCTAGTCTGAGCCTCTGTGAGAAACGAGGTTATAAATGTTTCCCAAAGATAGATATAAATTGGTGGCATGACACTTTTGTAAGCTGAATGGATGTGTTGGGAGCAACCTCAAAGACATTTCTTAAATGCTTTGACAATCACAGGCTAAAATGTCATTTTTTGAAAACAAGCTCTTGATTTTACCAGTGGTTTAATACAGAGACAATGAGTTAAGTTGAAAAAAAAAAACATTTTTTAACAAATGAAATATACAACTCACATGTTCTGGTGAAAACCACCTTGTAAATCTAAAAAATCTCCCGAAGCTTTTCATGTCCTGGAGGCTCCATGGGGCCGCCCCGATCTGCAGACAGGCCTCAGTACGGCACCTGATCAGAGGGCCCTCAAGCATTGCCCTTGAATGGACAGGAAAAGCAGACTCCTTCTAGCGAGACGCTTTGTTCCGCTTTGAAAAAGCCAAATGACTCAGTCGTCCATCTTCACATCTCAACACAGGCAGAAATCAAGACCCAGGCTGCGGCCCAGGGCTCTTCCGCTGACCACCGCAGACACATAGTCAACTGGAAGCCGTCTTAACCATGTCCCCTGCTCTCCCACAACACTCCCCTCCCCTCTGTGGTTAAATTTGGCACAGTGGACTCTCTCTAATGTAAACTTCTGAAGACCTTTTTCCCAGCTGTTACACTGAGTGACAGGGAAGCAAGCCAATGATGTTTGTCAGTTAGGCCCGTCTTGCCAAAAGAGCCCCTAGGGTCTAAATATAGCAAAGGGGCCCATCTCCTATCACTGAGGGCGGGTGGGTGGCATGATTGGGAGATGAGTAGCCTATGGTAAGGTAAGGTTACCACTTAAAGTGGCAGAGAAGAAGAGTAAACAATTGGTTGCAAAATAGCACATTATTTAAGCAAAGACATTTATTCTAATAAAAATTATAAGAACCCAACATGGTTCATATAAAATGTGTACCTGGATGGGATTTGGTGCATTTTTGTTGCCTGGCAACAAAAGTTCATATGAGGACATAACAATGTATTAAAAAAAAAACACTATGTGAAAACTTGCAGGTGCTTTTTGACCAAATAGTCTGATTACAACTAATTTAAAGTAATAATCCGGATGCAGGGACCAAATGAGATCTATTGACTTTTTGATCAGCTTCAAAATATTAATCAGAAATTAACTGAATTTTTTTTTTAAATCTTGTTTGGTTAGGATAAAAATATCACCATTAATTGGTACAGGCACCATGTTTTCCATTTTGAATATGTGATATTCAGCACATGGATTTTCCATAAGGAAGAATTTCGAAGCAGGTAAGTTTCAGATTTGTCCGCCTACAATCAAAAAACATAAAGATCAAAAACAACCTAACCTAAAAGTTTGTTTCCTTATTTTCTCTGAAACAGAGAAAAAAATAATGCTAATATTTTTATTAGCCCTACATCAGTAGTTTTAATTACACCTCAATTAATCAATACTTAAATGTTTGCAGCAGGTATCCAAGCAGCCATTTTCCTATATCACGATGTAACAGATTACATTTGGTGAGTGAATGGACAGAATTATGTTTTTTTATGTAATTTTGACACACTGGTTTTTTAAAGGACTATTTTCTGGCTTTAAAGATTTACAACATTTAAATTTACTGCAGCAATAGTTTTATAGTCTTATAAAGCAATTTACCTAAATATGTGAGGGAAACAACGACTTTCTCTTTCATGTATCAGCTTTGATCTGAACATCAATAATACAAGAGTATGCTTTTTATAGCTAAACAAGTGTCTTATCTGGAATTTTGAATGCTTTATTGATGTTCCCTCTCTACCAGACAAAAAAAAAAATGTTTTACTCAAGAAAGGCAGCTAAAGTTTAATAACCCTAATGGTTTCAACGGGGAAAAAAAGGCGAACCTGCTGTGATTTATATTCCTATGCAACCTGATCCAGAATCATTTTCCAAAAATGATACGTTTGCAACAAAAAAAAATCACATCACATATTTTATGGTAAAATAGAAACATGCAAGAAGGTTCTTCTTCATTTCACAGCTCATATATATACAACTATGCTGGCAAATAAACTGGGAACTTCAAGAGTACAGACTGTCTGGACCTGCTAGATCTCATCAAATCCATTGCAATCGGAATTTTCTGTCATGCCTCAGATATGCAACCCTGAACGAAACAAATGAAGGCATGACCACTGAAGTTTGGCGTAAATCAGGACGTTTTCCCACAGCATCGACTTGTGTGGGAATGAGCAGAGGACACTATAAAAAGCAAAAACCTAACACATCACGGTACGCCATGTGAAATTTGGAGAAAACCTTTCCCAAGTCTTCATAGACTTTAAATGGTTCAGGCAAGAAAAGGCAGACCGTTTTTCATTCCCATAAATATAAAGAAAACAACAAGTAATTGTTTTTATTACATATAAATAGCAGGTAAAATAATCAGATATACAGTTTAGGTGTCATTAATGCAGAGGATACTTATTTGACAGGCAGGACTCGTTAGTTTAAATAAGCTTTAGAAGGCAGAACACCTCTCGCCCTTTTCAGTCGGGCTCTTTTTGGTCACAGTTAACTTGGACTTGAGAGAATGATCCGCTATCAGCTGATTGATTTCATTTTGTCTGTATGAAGACAACTTTTGAGTTATCCAAGCAGCTTTTGACTCATCCTCAGGGCGACTCATGCACCGTTTGCAGGCCCTTCCTATGAGGTAAACCACCTCGGCCAGGTTGAGCAGCACACACACTCCAGACACAGCCAGCATGAACACTGTGAATATTGTCTTTTCTGTTGGTCTGGAGACGAAGCAGTCCACCGTGTTGGGGCACGGATATGAGTCACATTTCACCAAACGCACCATTTTAAAAGTTGGATAGATCAAGTAGAAGATGTAGAGGAACGCCAGCTCAAAGATGATTCTGAAGACGATGCTGATCATGTATGTCCACCAAAGAGCTCCTGTGATCTGAAATTTCTGGTTCTTGATGTGTTCCAGCTCTTTGGGGCTACCTCGCCCTGACCTTTTCAGGGCTTTCTTGTCCACGTGTCGCCGGTGGGCGACATGCATGGCTACCAGCAGTGCCGGGGTTGAGACCAGGATTAGCTGAAGAGCCCACAGCCGGATGTGCGAGATGGGGAAGAACTGGTCGTAGCAGACGCTGTTACAGCCAGGCTGCTGAGTGTTGCAGGTGAAGCCGGACTTCTCATCCCCCCAGACGCTCTCGGCGGCAACCACCAGCACCAGGATTCGGAAGATGAAGATGACCGAGAGCCAGATGCGTCCGATGCCGGTGGAATGCCTGTTTACGCCGCTGATCACGGCATAAAAGGACCCCCAGTTCATCTTCGACTCCAGGTCTGCAGAAAGTTCAAGGTAGGATACATTTCTGGTTATTTCATTAAACACACATTTTAAAACGCTTTTCCATTTTTAAAACAGCACCTCAAGATAAGGAAAAAACAATGCAATAAAACTAAACCTTTCTAGTAGAAGAGTTGGTCTACACGACTATCTTAAGGTAAAATCAGGATAAATTGTCAGTTAAATTGTTAGTTTCCAGAGCCTTACCAGGATCATCCGGCGGTGCAAGCGGCGTAAGCAACGCCGGGGCCAAAGATGACCACTCTGAGTCTTGACTTGAACATCAAGATAGTCTTGTAAGACACAGCTGGCAAGAAATGCCAACGCAGCTTGCCTGCTCTATAAAAGCAGGGGCGATGGCCTAACACAAAGCAGCATCACAAGATGCAAGAAATCAAAGCCAATTGCAAAACTTTTGCTGAGTCACATGGTTTGCTGACCCCATATTAATACCGTAGTCCAAAACTGGCCTACGAGTCATTCACAGACGGACAGACAGAGGGACAGCTGTAATCACATCAAGGACTCAGGAAGACCAGTGTCATCATTTGGCAAAAAATACCACATCAAATAAAAAGATATTTCCTTTAAAACAATTTATAAGTTTAATTTCTAACTGATTTTGGGAGCATATCAGCTACATCTAATCTAATCTTTACACAAAATGACTGTTAGTATAAGCCAAGATGAAGAAGATAAACCATGTATTTTACCTTCAGCTGTGGTGGTACACAGAAATGTGTACAAAATGGGAAGAAAATAAATCAAATATTGTGTTTTTTAGCGAGCCAAAAGGCTGGATAGGGAACACCGTGCGTTTGGAAAATGCAAATCATTCCTCCGCCACTAGCCGCTGCCCTGCACCGTAGCAGTCATATGCTCTTATATAAACTATTTACATACAATGGCAGCCTTTATGGGACGACAACAAGACTCTTTAGAATTCGGATCAAACGCCTCGATTTCCGCCCACCCCGGGGCAAAAGAAGGAATCTGTGTGGACACAAAGGCCTCAGCCCTGCCTCATTATTTATTGTGCTTGGCAGGGCAGTGACGTGAAGGAAGCTTTTGACCTGAGCCACTGCTGCACAGAATGAGGCTGGCAGTAAAACAAAATACGTGCCTTTATTATTTTTTTTCCTTTTTGATAATGTACTGATAATGAGATGATCCCCTCAGCTGTTCCAGCATGATGTTATTGTATAAATGCACTACAGTTCAGGGCTGTCTTTGTTTTTTTTCCAGCTTCAAAACACCCCTGACCTCACTTTAAACCCACTTTTATCAAATTCCCTCTTTTACAACAGCACCCTGTGTGCAGTCTTGACTTTATTGTACATGAATTGAAAGTGAAACAAGATGAATCACTCATTGCTCATGTTCTTAAACCCACCCAGAAACACGATGCAGAAATGGAGCGTTTCAGAGGCCTGTGAAGTGATACTTTACAGTTGGTTCTCATAAAAAGTCCAAAAGAGAGCGAGAGAGAAAAAAAAAAACAATTTAGTGTAACAAACTGAACTCCAGGGGAAACAATTTCCATTTGTCATGCTACATACATTAAAATAATCTATAGCAGTACGCCCAGCCATCGCTGCATCACTTCTGACAAGTCCAGCGGGAGGTCGGAGTGGAGAAGCCAAATCTCTGAATGAACTCAAAAACTCATTTGCAATACATCCAGAGAAGACAGGAAGCTTAAAGTGTGCCAAAGATAGTGATTTTATTTAAAAAGCAGAAACGTACAAAGAAATCAACATCCAATTGTAGAACTTTAAAATGAGCCATAGTGAAATGAACCCAGTTTTCTCTGCTGTCTGTTTATAGCACTGAAACACAAATAAATGGGGTCTTCTTTCTACAGTGGAATCCGTAGTAAAAGTGAAAATAAAAATCTTGATTTATAAAACCATGTGCACGCTCAAAGCCGAGCAATCTTCCTTTATAGATCACAGCTGTGCCTCAAAGTTTGCATCCAAATCTTCCCCTCTAAATCAATGTTATTCAGTGGCAACCGCAGTCAGGGGGCATGAGGTGGAAACTGGTAAATATGTTTGGTAGCCAGTTTAAAAAAAAAAAATAGTATTATTAATGGTACCTTCAGTCTGATGTGGACTGAGCATATTAACAAGAAAACCCCGGCAGGATAAGTTGAAGACTATGATATTATCGTAGATTTTATGGTTCTAAATGCTGCTTCAGGCAGTCAATTTAATTGTTGATAATTACAGCAGTAACCACATTCATTCAAAAAACCAAGACCCCATCAATCTGCAGTGCAGTATGCCCATCTATAAGCATACTGCAGTGCAGATTGATGGGGTCTTTATGCCCATTTTTCACCTAATCAGCTCATTTTATTTAGACATTTCCTAATCTCTCTTTATTATACATCTTTAATAAGCTGACTGCAACATGAAGCCTTGTCTTATTTTTTTCACAATATTGAACTTTCTTTTTTTTTCTATTCAAGAATGCATTTTAAATTCTATGTGTATGGATTGTTTATATGCATTTGTGTTTCTTTAGAACACAGCTTTCTTTTTTTTTCAAACACAATGAACTAATTTTTAACACCTGGGATGAACAGGGATGGCGTGGATCTTGCAGGTCGATCATTCCATTAGTGGAACCAGTTCAGCACATAGATCTGAGAGCAAAGCTCTATGGAGTCTGATCAGCTGATAAGCAGTCATCATCCATCCTGGGTCAGGAAGCATTGGTTATCCCTGTAAATGACTTCCTAATGTCCAGTTTACAAAGTCTCCAGCCGTTAAATGCTGCTTGCTTCATGCAGCTGTTTTGTATTCAGATTACAACCAAAAATAACATTTTATAGTGAATTGAATTCAAAATAATCCTGTTACTATTGAATATGCTGATTAATATTGTCCACATTTGTCTTAGATATAAGGACTGACATTGGGACATTGCTTGTTTTATGTAACTGTTCTTTGGTCAGATGAATACTTAAAATTAAGTTTTTTTAATGCTGAACATAAGCAGATTTTGTTGCATTCAAACAAGAGACAACTAAACTAATTCAAAGTAATCCTGTCACTTTAAAAGTAACCAGTCTTTAAGCAGATTAATATCACCCTTAGCAGTTAAAGGTGGACTTTCTGTAATTTCCCAGGATGCTTAGCGGCATCTTTGTTTCCTCTGTGGCACTACGAGTAATATGAAAATGGCCTTTGAGAGCTTTTAAAATAGTATTAATCTGCTTATTAACTTTGGAATCCTGAGTATTGATCTTAACTTACTTTACTGTTCTCACATTTAACTAATTATTAAACTGGACTTGGTAAAATGTATGTCTAATTGATATAAATGTAAAAACTGTAGGAGCTGTAAGATTTTAATGCATAAACTTGCTTTACTTTGAATCGAAGCTGCTTATGTTGTTATGCTGCTTTTATTTGTAACACGTCCCCTCAGCAGCGCAGATTCATATACTCTGCAGCTTCTTATTTCATAAAGTAAATTACTTTCATATGAAGTGAGAAATTTCTTGAAAGAAATAAGATCGAGCTTCAGTTCCCCACATTAGTCAATCTGTTAGTCCCTCCAATATATGCGTACCTGTACTGATTGGTCAGAGTTGGAGAAAGGGAACGCACATTTTTATGATGAATTGGGTTTTAAGAACATTTACATGGAAAGTTTAAAACTTTTAAAGCTGGGTCTATACTTTTAGAACTTTAACTTTTAAGTTCAAAACAAACAAAAAACTTTTTCGAAGCACTCATGCAGTAACAAAAATAAGTTAGTTTCGAATTTTACTCCTTTTACAGCTTAATCAGATCCATACTACCAATTTAAAAAGGCAGACGAGATGGTGGGAATATCTGGGAAGGCGCCCCATTTCAAGAAGCAAGAAAGGAAATACAGAATTAATATATAAAATATTACACTTGCAGAAGAGTCTTTACAAAACCAAATAAACTAAATGTACAGAAGAAAATATATAATTTAAAGACAGCAATGACATTTATAAACAAAGCATATCTTAAATTTAAAGACTAATCACACTTCTATATGTTATTCTACCAACTTTTAAACATAGTAACAAAAACCAAAAAAGGGTTGAGCCCCAAGTTAAAATAGGTTTAAGGGCAGATATGGTCGATCAAAACCAAAAAGTTGCAGACAAAGTGGATTAAAAGTGTCTCTTTGCTACATGACCGACTGTAAATGATTTATTCCACTACTTTACTGTACAGACTCGGCCATGTACAGCTTGCAGAGCTCACTTCTTGTTTTGAGAGTAGCATGATATAAGATATTTCTCCCATTGAGACTCTTGCTCCTTTTTTCCCAGCTGAACAGCACCTTTAAATGAAAAAGGCAATAAAGAGAACTGTAAGACAAACCAGCATGAGAAGCTAGAAATCACCGGCTGCAAACTACTTACTCTTTCTCACTACACCGTTGTTCTTCAGTTTATGCTTTGCATGTCCATTGTGAGCTAATCTTTGAGAAAGAGATGCACCCCTCCTATAAAAAGAAAAGAAGGAATTACTGACATTTTAACATTTTACTGTTAGGTTAGTAACACTTGACGATGAGAAAATTCCATGGGTTTTCTAGATATGCGTAGGGCTGGGTATGGTTCCGGTACCAATACCAATACCTTCACTTCGATACCGGTTCCTGAACGATACTTTTTTCGATACCAGTTTTATAATATCAATTCGAAGAAAAAGAAATATACACAACATAAAAAAGTACAAATCTTGAGTTTTATTTTAAGCTATGATTTTTCCATTTACATTTTTCCTCTTACATAAAAAAAAATGTCAGTGTCTAATATTCACTGTTACATTGTGAGGACCTTTTTACTTAGCAGTTTTCCTTTAGAAAAATTACCATGTCTGACAAACAAGCTCGTAGAATGGGATCCTACTGACAGCGCACCGCTGGTATGTGGGGGTCTGAGCGGCTCCCACAGAAATATTGGAAGGCAGGATGAACTGACTGCACTGATGAAGTTTTCAGGTGAATTTTCCCACTTAAAAACATAATAAAACTACTTTATTCCCACTGATCACCGCAAATATAGCTGCAAGGCAAATAAAGGATAGAGTAGCTCCGCCCAACGCGCGTCAGAGCCACTTTTCGACCGCGCAGCCAGAGCAGCAAAGCTTCTTCAGCCGCGCATCAGAAGCTGGTACAAGCAGCAAAAAAGAAGCAGCAGATGTGATTTTGCTGCTCCTGCTGCGTCCAGTTTGAAAGCAGCATTATTCACTCCGCTCTGGCTTTGCTCCGCCCACGGGCTGCTGAGAGGAGGATGGTCGCGCCTGCTGCGGTCCGCTCTTCTTGCAGTCAAACACCGAGCAACTTTCTGCTCTTAAATTGTTTCCGTGCACGATGTATTGCATTGCGCACTATTGGCATCAGTCTTAATAACGTGAAGCCGCACTTTTGACCTGGGGGGCATTTTAAAGGGGTTCCACGAGGCTCGCAACCAGTTCACAACAGATACACATGAACCCTGGCTGTAGGCGGGACCACCTGTGTATTTTTCCTGGATGACGCAATCACGTTAAGTGTTACAGCCAATCACCGAAACTTGGTACCGAAAGACGAGGCATGTTTCGATACTCTGTAGAACCGAAGCATTTCGGTCGGTACCATAAAAGAACCAAAGTTCGGTACCCAGCCCTAGATATGCGACTGATCTAGCACTGAGCACTAACTGGTCTATCCTACCCCATGGCTGCTTCAACTGAAAGCTTTTCAGTTTAGTGCAGATGCAGCGTTTGTTTACAGTCACTTCAAACCAAAAGGTGAACCTTAACCAAAACTCCTAACAGGTTTACTTCCAGGTTGTTCCTGTATTCTGCTCATTAATTCACATTTAACAGGTTTCCCTGCTGAATAATGATGAAACTCATCCCCACAGCATGATGCAACTACCACCATGTTTCACACTGGGAATGCAAGGAGGTTGTCTTTGTCTAGGTGGTTTATAAACCTATACTTAAAGATGCACCTCATGCTAAGGAATAATTCCTTAAAACTTGGTAATGATCCAGATCATGTGGGAGCTTTAGCTCTAGCTGTAGGTCACAATATGTGCCAAAATTTGCTGCTTGGTGGAGGTATGCGCTCTCCAAGTGCTTTTCTAGTTCTTTTTAAATACTTTCTGGCCCTTACACGCCAAACTTTTGAAATGTGTTTTACCCTAATGCAAATAGAACAATAGGAAAAATAAAGAAGAAAACACAAAAACGTGAAAAAGACAGTTTAAAAGTGTCTCGTTTGGAACAGAGTAGTGTAATTTTTCTTCTTCTCTATCAAGGCAATACTGGAGCAACATGAACCCCTTAATAAAAAAAAACTGTTTTACAACTATGTGAAAGCAAACCAAGCCAGCTAAATATATAATCGTTTCATTTTAACTCATCCCTGAATGTGGAGCAGTTTGATGCATCTCAACTGGTCTGTGAACATTTTCTTCCAAATGTTTCAAGTATTAATACTCAATTTTTGAAAGATCAATTTGAATTAGACACTCAAAGATGGGGAAAGTCTTAAATAACTTCACCTTGCTTTAACGGGGTTTATACAGGAATGAGTAACTCTAATTTAATGCTTTTTAATGCTCTTTTAATACTTTTAGAAATAATTTTAATGCCATCAACAAGTTCAAAATTGATTTATATATATATATATATATATATATATATATATAAAAAAAACGGCAAAATCCTTCGTCGTCATTAGTGTGCAGCCATGTTTCCAGCCACTTTCTGTTGAAATTTGCATTTTCCCCCAATTTCTAGCTTTTTCTCCAACTCAAGATTATTTTTCTAACATGCAGCTTTATGATCAACCCGAAGCATTTCGGCACAAATATATCACATTATAATATATCTGAGGAAATTATTATTATTATTATTTTTTAAATAAAGCATTTTAAGGCCACAACAATTACATTTAGTGAATTTTAATGCCAATCAAGGCTTTCATTTAAAAAAATTATTTAATGACTTAATGATTTTTAATGACCGGTGTAAACCCCGTTTACGTTTGACTCTGAAAACAGTGTGACTTGAGCAAAAACAAGCCAACACTCTTTCCTGGAGTTGTAGGTCATAAGTCTCCATTTGTTTGCATAAATATGCCCTTTCATCCTCCAGCAGCTCCTCCGTTTTCTTGTGTTTCCGTTTTGCCTTTTTTTCATTTTTCTCTAATTCCATCCTATAATCCACTGGGACTTTTTTCTGCCAAGTGCTTCACCTTTTTCCTGTTTGCTGTGTAAAACTTCTGGAGTTCGATGCAAAGTCCGCTGCAGCACTTGGCCAAAGTTCCCATCTTGGGAACATTTTGTTGAGCTGCTGAGCCTCTGTTACCACACTAACTGCACACACTGTCCATGTTCACTCTAAGCTCTGCGTTAAAACTGACCTTTGACCTGTTTAGTGTGCCATTTGTGCGACAGGTATTTTACTTTACTGAATTAAATACAAATGCCTGCAACAGTTTTGAGATTTAAATTTGTGTCCAACTATCAATCTTCTTCCTGCCTTAAATTAATGTATGGCTTTATTTTGGTTCATCACATAAAATCCAAACAAAAAGCATTATAGCGTGGCTTCGTAACATGACTGAATGAAAAATATGAACACTTACGCACTGGAGTCACTATAGGTTCCAGATGAGCATTTGGATTCACTTTGTAATTCAATACACGGCATCATTTTTCTAAAATGCATTAATAACCGAGTGGTTCATAATTAAATACCTCATAGCTCCAAGTTTTCCTCTTTCCAGGAACAGCTCGACTGAAACAGCGAGCCCCTGTGGGTAAAGTCTTGCATAGAGCGTCCTGCCATGCACCATCGCTTTGAACCAATCTACCGCCTCCTCGGTCCAATCTCTGCCATTAACTGGCCTCACCTGGAGGAGAGGAAGCAAATCACTGAACAGAGATAATGAATTTCGTTCATTATGAAGCTGCGGCTGGGCAACAGAAAGAACTAAGCCCTTTCTAACAGGACAGTTTTTATTGATGCATGTTGTAGACATTAAATCCAGGAAGTGATGTACTGAACCGAATAGTGGAGTACAGGACTACTCACATGAGCCAGAGAAACCTGCAGAGCCTGAAGTGGCAGCACAGCCATTTCTGGAGAGAGCTGCTTAATATGACAGAGCGGCACACAGGAAGTGTCACCATAGTCCAACCGTTTCACCTCCACATTTATGGATGGATTTCTGCCAGCCCCATCTGTGATAGCCAAGAGACAGAAGAGGTTGATCTCAAATTCCCAGGAGGTCACATTCTGAATAAGTGACTCTGCCGCCATCTAGAGGTAGGTCTTTGTTAATCTATTTTACTTTCAACTGGACTCACTTCTACTCACTCCGGAGATCCTCACCACCTGAGCTCGACACCACTGCTCATTTTTAGGAAACCAGCAGATGACCTGGGCTCCAATGTCTGGAATGCATTTTTGTTCAGCATATGAACGACTGGCTGCTTGGCTGCAAATAAAGAACAAGAAGGTGGAAAGAAATAAAAGAGTATTACAAATAAGCGACAAAAATGGATGAGCTGATTTAATATGCAAAGGCAATCAGGAGAAATGGTAGGCAGCTGTGAAGTATGACTAAACTCACGACTTACTCTGTAAAAAGAGCCTCCAGTTTCTTAGGGGAGTCAGCAAGTTGGATGTAGAAGTCACTAGGACTGACAACATGAGACACAACCACTTCAGACTCTTCAAACTTCCGGATTTCAAATTCAGGAATGTCTACCGATTTATCTGCCAGCCTATCCGAGTCCCTCGAGCAGTTCTCCAGTCCTGGCTGAGTGGACTGCAGAGTTTGGGGTTTTAATGTTAAAGGTTCAGACTTATCCAACTCAGCTAACGCAGTTTGGCATTTTTCACTTTCCAAAGTACTAAAATGAACAGAGTCCTTCAGAAAAGCATCTGTGAAGATGTCTCCCACGTCCCATAATTCCGTTTCTGTAGCGATTACACAGCTGTAGATCAAAGATCTGTGCGAGTCGACTCTTTTCACTCTGAAAACTGGAGCTTGGTGAACGTTTGCGTGCAACGTTTCAGGAGCTCGCTCATCTGTCAAAACATGTTCGACTTGGTCGCTTCTTGTTTTGATAGTAGGTGAAGGCCGCGTGGGAGAATCTGAATTGTTTGCCATGTGTTTGCTTTTAGCACATGCAAAAACAGTGACCTCAAGTGAACCGTTGTTTTTAGCCTTTTCTTTGAGAAAACGCAGCAGCTGGGAGGAGGTTTGCTTTTGGTGTGGTACCTGGACGTCATCGCCATGGCCCCAGATTACTACAGACCTATGGTTACACTGTTGGATCTCGGAGAGCGCGTCTTTCAAAGAAGGCAGTAGTATGTTTGACTCCTCCTCAATAATCACTTTGCTCTGAACAACCACAGGTAGGATGTTTATTGAGACTTCTTCTTTTTCATCCTGAAAAACAGCCTTTTCTTCTTTCTCTAAACAGGAGATGCTTCCAGGCAGAGTAGTGTTGTTGAGGCTGGATGACTCGCTGTCATCTTCCTGCTCTGAAGGCCTCAATGGATGGAGGGAAACTTGAAGATGATGATGGGAAAATAAAGCTTTGAGTGGCTGAAAGTAGTTGAAGCTCACAGCATCACATGATTGGTGGTCTGCAGACAGAGGAGATGCATTGATAGCATTCATTAAATACATTAAAGTTAATAAAATATCCATTATACTTCAACCTTCATGTGAACTACATTGATTTACTACTCACCAGTTTTTAGATCCTTTAATAAAGCTGAGAGCTTCCCGAATTTATTACACTTTATGTCAAGAGCGTTTGTCACATTTCTGAACAAAGGTGTTGGAAGAGATGACTGGAGGACGCCGCGTAGCTCTTCATATGTCTGGTGGATTATCAGAGGAAAGAATGATCATGGATGGAACATCCCTAATGGTCAAAAAGCACAAAGAAGCTTAATAAGAGTCTGGGAATTCTCTTATATTTTAAACCCAAAACTATGAGATGCTATCTAAGCCAAAAGAAACAAAGAAACCTAAAACAAAAGTGAAACTCAGACTGCAGCCTTATACCTCTGCTGCTCAGGAAGGAAGCTACATGTACATACATTTTAACTCTCATACAAATATTCTTCCACATTAGTGGTGGGCATAGATACATGTTTTTAATCTAGATTAATCTCACTGCAATCTTGGAATAAATCTAGATTAAAGATCTCTAATTTGAACATTCATGATGTGTGTGCTACCTCAAGAATTTAAAAGATTTTAGTTTTTTTTTTTTTTTTTTTGCAAAATGACACGTAATTTCGTCTTCTTACCTTCTTATGACAAAGTTATACTTTTTTGCTCATTTGTTACCATTTTAAAAACAGTGTCCCACTTTAACAATATAGTTTCTCCAAAAATGTGACACATACGCAGACATTCTCATCTATACATAACAGTATTTTAAATAAAATATTATTCAATGTGCGACACAGAATTGGTTCTTAAATCAGGAAATGATTTGAATATTCCATGGAATGTTTCAACAGCATATTTATTATAAAACTGCAATATGCAACTATTTAAATAAAGTCTGTGTTCTACATTCTGAGCACCTCGTCTTTTATTTTTCTATAATTTGGTGGTGAACAGAAATGAAATGAGAGAATGGTTGTCAGAAGTATATTGGGGTGTTTTGAACAAATCAACAAGATTCCTCAAATTCCTTTATTCACGTGAGGCAAATTAGATTCTAATGTGATTTTCGGTGCCCCCCCCCCCTAAAATTATAGCAACAAAAAAGATGATTAAACAGGTTTTACCTTAACCTTTGTCAAATGCCATTTACTGCCTTTATTTTTTTGTCTAAGACTAGTGTTACAATGATGCCATATTAATTTAGATTTCATAAGATTTGACAAATGTATGCAACATTAAATGTTAAAAAAGACAATGTTTAGATTTCATAGCTCCATGCCTCATGCTGTTAGGGTTACTCTGGGAACTGAGGTGGGAGCGCAGGACTGCTGCTGAAGGATAGAAGTCTTTGAAAGACCCTGCCTATGAAGCAGGGTTCTCACCATGATTCTTTATGAGTGTAGGTAAGGTATTGATGCTGTTTTCCTAATTTGCATATTATAGGTACATCAACATAAACAACACAGAAAGTGGTTAAAAATTAAATTAAGTCAATAATTAAAAATATTCCAAATATTATTTAAAACTCAAGATAATCACACTGTAACACGTCTGTGTTTGTGGAAATCACTGTTTATAGTCGAACCTAAAAATGAAAACACTGAAAATGCTAAAGGTAAAGACCTTGGATTAGAACTGTGTTGGTCTTCATTCAATTTATTTATATAAATCAAAATCTAAATTAGTTTCTGGATAAGATGTACCTCTCCCTTATTTTTGATAAAGTAATGTACATTATTCATCATATAGTGTTGAGGTGCCTGATGGATTTATCAAACATACAACAGTATGTTTATTGTATCTGTAAGCTTTCACCTTTTCACCCCAATTCTGTTAAAAAAAAAAAAGATCTACTGCACAGTCTATTTAAATAAAAAAATCTTACCAGGTTTTCCTATATTTATTTATTGAAATAATCAGGAACTAATTTAGTAATCGA